GGATTCTGAAGCTTCGTCTGACATACTTTGGGCATGTTGCAAGGAGGGACCAGTCCTTGGAGAGGGACATCATGTTTGGGAGAGTGGAGGGACAGAGCAGGAGAGGAAGAACCTCGATAAGAGATCCATTCAGTGATTAGGGTAGTGGGAGTAGGTGTGTCAGAGGAAATGAGGTTGGTACAGAATAAAGTAGGGTTTAGGACTCTTGTACATAGGGTCTCTATGAGTTGCAAGTGACTTGGCAGCACATAACAAAAATATATGACAAAAAGAAACAAATACACACCAAAAACTCAACAAACTAAAACTAAAAAATAAATAAATAGAAAAATAACTTGTGGCCATGACAAATTATTCTAATTGTTTTTCAGTGCTTTCTCTTAGTTTCTGAACTTAACCTTGCTACACACTAGTAACCCTCTGTTAGTGAGTCCACAGATAGATAATACTTGGGTAGCACTACTAGATTTTAGACAATAGTCTTAAATAGTTTGCTCCAATAAATAGTCTAAACAAGTAGTTCAGACCTACAACATACATACTGAAATTACAATGAACCACACTTACTACCACCTGGTTTTCTTTTTCTTTTGGTACACCTTTATCATGAGTAATAGGTATTACACACAACTTTGCAGCATGTAATTTGCTGATGTTCATCACTCACAGATGTTCCCTAGCACATGTTCAAAGAGCACCTTTATAAAGAGTTATAATAAAATGTAGTAAGAATGGAAATAAAATAGAAGATGTATTAGATTTACATTAGAGTTCCAACAGAGTTGTCAGGGACTCAAACCAAAATCCAGTGCCACTGAGTAGATTCTAACTGATGCTGACCCTCAAGTAGGTTTCTGAGGCTGTAAATCTTTACAGGAGGAAGCTTCCCTCCATCTTTTCCTAGTGAGTGACTGACTAGTGGATGTGAAATGCTAACCTTTCAGTTAGCAATATAATGTTCTACACTAGGCCAAAAGGCTGCTCCTTTCATTCCAGTATTCTCTAGTGTCATTCCGGTCCCTAGGTGGTATCATGGGTAAGCCCTCAACTACCAAATAAAAGACTGGCAATTCCAACTCCCGCAGGGGCTCTGAAGAAAAATCTAGTGATCTAACCTTCCAAAAGGAAGATAATAGGCTTGAAAATCAAACAGTTCTATTCTGTACACATGGGGTCACTATGAGTCAGAATCAGTTCAATGGCAACTGGTTTTGTTTTTGACATGTCACTCAACAATTTAATAAAAACAAGTACCTGCATACATGGTTAATTTGTCATTCTTTCTCTGAAGAACACACTGCTATAATTTGCTGCAGAGATGTCTACTGCATAGTTTTGCTAATATTTCTAAGACACAAGAAAACAACTAGCTACAGAATTTTCATTTGTTTCTCAGAGGACTTCATGGACGTTAAAAAATGTAACATTTTTGACATCTAGAAGGGAAGTCCCTTATCTTAGAGAAACAGTCTCTAAATGAAGGAAACTATTTCCCCCCTTGGTTATATCCCCAGAGGCCTGGTAGGTGGTTGGTCACTCTCATTAACCAGAATGTGCTCATGGTATGCTTGTACTTTCTTTAGACTCAAATGCTTAATTTCCCTCCATGTTTTAAAACAAAATAAAACACAAAAATAGCCCATTCATAAATAATATTAAGGAACAAGAGAATTAAGAATCTAAAAAATACCCCAGAAGTTCATTTAGTCTTCTGCCTCAACATAACCATCTGCTCCCAAAACTTTTCACCCACACGATAAATGAACAAGATTTCTGGGTATGTCCTGAAATTCCCTTTGAAACATTCCACCATACTCTAGAATGGCTGTTAGCATGCTACAAGAAAAAGAAAAAAACCTAGGGGAGAAAAGTAGTACAGAAGCCACAGTCCCTTGTGAGAGGCTGACCTGTCTGTCTCCAAGAAAAAGAGAGATAAAAGGTTCTGTTTGAGAACTTCACTCACTCACCAGTTTATGATGGCAATGGGAGAGTGCATCCAGGATTTCATCCACGATTCGGTCAGACAGGAAGGAGGCCACTGTCAACTTCACCTCACTGGGAGCAAATCAAAAGAACAAAGTCATCTTTTCAAATCTCCCAGAGAAAGACAATCACCTGCCCTTGGTTCTCTAGTGATAAGGTCAAGCAGGATTGCATTTCTGTCTTTGAAAATGGAATCTAAGAATGTGTGAACAAGGCAAAAGAATTCCAAACATCACCATTAACAACAGTGCCATAAACACACAGGTAATAGAAGTTTTCTACCCATATCAACCTGCCTCTGCACATTTCAAAACGTAAGATTCAATGGTAGAAACGAAAAACATCTGGCTCAAGACAAGCTTAATGGGAACCATATGTACCATGTGGCGGGGAACAATCCATCCATTGACATAAACGAAAACAAACCTGGGCTGGAAAAAATTAAGAAAGTCTAGTCTGTTTGTTAAGCCCTGGTTATTACTTTAATATGCATCTCCACCCCCTTTGTGTCCCTCCCATTTTTTTTTTAAATCTTTTTCACCAATCAAACGCCACCACTGGAATCTGTTTCTGCTGTGACTTACCATCCTCTTTGGGTAGCTATAAATTCACTGCACTCGTGCCTTTTACGAACAGAGGTTTGGAAAATTTTTACTTCTGCTGCCTCTTGTCTGACCTTAAAAAGGTGTCCCGTCAACAGAGAGCGGTTTGTAGCTTTTACTAATAAACAGACTCCACCATTAAGGTGTCTGTCAGATGGCTGGTATTTTACTTGGAATGTTAACAATTTAAGAATTCAACTGCCATGTGTGTTTCAGTCTAAAGAGTCCTATCCAGTGAGAGGTAAACTTGCTAAGGAGATGATCTCTCCACACTGCAGCACAATTCCATGAGGTTGGTCTGATTTTGAAGTTCACCACCTTAAAGTTTTTTAGAGCAGGGAGAGAAGTTAGCAAAATAAAATTATTTTATCCCAAAGATCTAGTTAAAAGCATATTTGTGTAATAGGGGGAAAAAAAATTGCAAACCTAAAGGCAACAATTCTGCCTAGGAAAGGCTTCTGATAGGAGGATGAAAGAATGGACAAACGAACTCTTTGATGCTCACAGTAAAAATTTTCCTGCACTAAAGATACAAAAGGGCATTTCTTTAATTCCTATTTCTGAAATAAGTTTTTGCTAGCTGTTTGATTTATCTAATACTTTCTTATTTTCCCAGAAGTGGCTACTGATAAGATTTACCCAAGTCTCTTACTGAAAATATAGATTGAGGAGGGGAGTATAAGTAGAGAAAAATACAGATTCCTGGGCTCTATGCTAATCCCCCGAGTAGATGCCTGGGAATCTTGTGTTGAAGAAAGCCTTCCTCTGATTATGTTCGGGTGTCTTTGAGAATATTATTTCTTCATAAAGCACAAGGCATCAATAGTTTGTTTCTCTTCCTCTTCTATCTCTTAAGGTGGGTGAAGGGTAGTTAATCTCAGAATGTAACACAAAGAAGAAAAAAATAAGGGTGTTAAAAATGTACTTCTGTATGGGCAAATCAGGATCACCCTATCATTTTGTAATTAGATGCTACTATTTGGAAGTAGGAGTGGCATCCGCTTCTTAAACAACATGCCTCTTGAAACTCTAAACTTTGATAAATGTCAATACTTGTAGAGAGGCTTTGGGCCTTTTGTTCATAGAGTTGCTATGAGTTGTGCTCGACTCAAAGACAATCAACAATAACAACATCATGCCTGTCTTTATTGATGGAGTTTCCATTTAGCAAAATCTTTATTGGCAATTGATCAATCTTTCCTACATGTCTAGACAAATAGGTGTGTACATATGTGGGGGTGATTTTTCACTCATTGAGAGCTCGAAATGTACCAGACTCAAACTCACTGTCATCAAATTGATTCTGAGTTAGATCCATCCTGTAGGACAGAATAGAATTTTTCCTTCAAGTTTCAAAGCTGTAAATCTTTAAGGAAGCAAACTCTGTCAAAAGCCAATGTGTTAGTGATGTGAGGAGTTTAATGGTGTGACTCTAACTTTGAAAATGCATTTATTTATGTAGGGAAATGGCCACACATGACAGACCCTAGTACTTCATCCAGTAAAAGCATCAAAAAGTATGATGTATTGGTGGTATAAGGTCTTGCTATGAATGAATAGTGGCCAATGTGTATTTTACTCTTTTATATTTAAGAGGTATCAGATTATGCCTTTAAACTCCAGATGATAGGAACATATGCATACTTAGTAAGGGCAAAAGTTAATAAAGTCGCTATTATAGGAGTTCCATCCTCAAGTCTTCTGTTGTTTTCTCAAGTCCTTCCAACTGTCTTGAATTTGGCTAATGCACAAGGAGTGATTGCAAAAAGGTGACGACAGCTGCATCTTAGACCTGAGATTGACTGCTCAGATACTGTGGAATTTCTAAATGTGAGAACTTCTACATTGTAGCTCTGAATTAGTCAGCATTCAGCATCCAAATAGTCATGACTTGATACTCTTTTTCTTACAGACTACTATTTGGTTTAATAATGATATGTTAATATCATACACTTTCCAACTCTCTAGTTGTTGTTGTTGTTATGTGCCATCGAGTCACTTGCGACTCATACTCTCTAGTAGAAAAAAAAAAGCGATAGTATATTTTATACATCCAATTTACTAGGAGCTAGTATTTTTACTATATCTAATGTTTGCTATATCTTATGAATATTTAGAAATAATTAAGGTGGGAAGTTTTAAATGTTTTCTAACTTGGTTTTCACTCATCCACTCAGTAAATGGATAACAGTCATGTAGTCTGACAGCCCGAACTAAGAAACATGGAAGATGAATTAGAAGAACTATCTTTTAATGCTGATGACTCCTCTAGTTTTTACGTAAAAAATTGGAGTAAATTTCTTAGTCATCTCAGCTCCTAAATACTGATTTATTTTTTTATTTGGTATGTTTTTCAAACAGAACTGTATGGAGGAGAGCACACAGCACTTAGGCAGTATCATTAACCCACTGAAATAACTCACAAGGAAAATATACTAGGGTCAGGGTGTGTGCTGCTTCTCCTATGCTGTGCATCTGTTCAGACCCAAATGGTGGAAGAAAGCAAAAAAGACCTTAGTCCTTACAGTAACCATCTGAAAATGCAAAAGATAAACTTAAGTAGCAGAAAACAGGGGTTACAAGTCCCTCTCTTAAAAATAAAACCCTAAAGAGAGTTCTAAAGCAATGCAGATACACAGTCATCTTATTTTGGAAATGTCTCAGACTTATGCATTTATTTCTATATCTTCTCTGCCTCTTAGACATGCCTAACCACATCATATATGTATAAAGCCAACAACAGTGCTTCCCCACAGCCGACTTGACTGCACACACAGAAACGGCAGAGGCTAGCTTTATGCACGATATAAACCTACCTAATTTTGTTAAGGATATCAATTCCGGACTGCTCCAACAGGACATTTTTAACAAAGGTACGTGGAATGGAAATCTTTTCAGTGCTGGCATGAATCAGGTCTTGTCGGATGTGGGCTTTTTTCATCACATTTGGACAAAGGTTCTCGGCAGCATCAACCATGGACTCAAGCAAAGCCTGCAATGCAGCACAAGTGGAGGGGAAGATATGATGACATTGCACCAGAGGCACCGCCATAAAACCCAGAGGTGGTTATATATGATGCCGACCACGCAGAACAGGCACACTACAGGGTCCTCGGGTGCAACAAACAGGACTCAGCTGCCCCGGGTGGCTGTGAGTGCTGGATGATCATTGATCTCAGGTAATTACTTTAAATCAGTCACTTGGCAGGACCACACCAGCTTCCTGCTGGCATCGTAACTGCTATGGTGTGTCAGCTGTACTTAACACAAAGCTTTAACAGATTTTTTTTTTAAAAAAAGGTCAAGCCTTTCTTCGTCTACTTACCACACTGAGTTGTCCTCCCTGGCCCTAGAAAAGTAACTGAAGTTCTTTCTAGAAAATATGTTATTTGCACACTGGTGAGATTTCTCAAATCACAGACATTTTAAAGTCAGGGCGAACCTGTTCTAATACTGCACTAGCAGAAAACCAAATAAACCACTGCTGGCTTTTGTCATCTCAAGAAGATCCTTAGCATTAAGTAGAATAATAATTATTGTAACAAAAATAAACAATATTAATAATAATAAGCTCACATACAGTATGGCACTTTATAAGTAAGATTAATGATGTCGTAAACAACAATCAAACAAACTCCACATCTCTATAGCCCTTTAATACCTGAAAATGCTTTAGTACATTTTATGTTTCCAAATTCTGTGACAACATATAGCAGCTATTTGTATAACTGTTTCATATGTTTAACAATGTGAGACTAAGAGCAGTTAAATTATTTATCTGACGTGACACGGCTGCTAGGTATCGAAAGCATCTACATTTTAATCTTTGATGAGGGAAATTAAAACATTTGCTAAACTCTCAATATTACATTCCTTTATCTATAAAATTGCAAGACTGGGGTTGGAGAGTTCTTGCCTCAGAGAGCTATGGAGAATTAACCGCTATTGCATTTGGAAAGTGCTCAGTATTATCCAAGCATGTAACAAAAGCCCACCATATCACATATATTATGAAATTTATTTCAAAGACTCTGGTCTGAATGTTAAGGACCCCATTTTTAAAGGCCAAGCTTTGATTCTATTACTATTTCACAGTGTGAACAAGGAATGATGCTATATTATTAAAGAAAGATTAGTACAAGAGTCTGCTCACACATTTGCATGCAAAGCACAATCTCTCCAGTAAAGTCTCTCATCCTACCATAGGGCCAAGGGCTGTTTAGAAGGATCTTGTGGGAACAAGGAGATGAGAAATGAGAGGCTGCCACTTGAGAAGCTTCCAAAAACTATTCATATGCTGACAACGCCTCTGCCTCTTTTAAAACTCTGCTTGAAGTATCACTGAATCAGTGTGCATCAATCATTGCAAGAAAGTTCTGACATCAACCATCCGCAGGAGATACAACTAAGACAGTTTATGACAAATTATTGTCCCTGTGGCATTCGTACTGGAGTCTTATAGTAGTGCGAACAGTTAATACGCTCCAATGTTGACTGAATGACTGCAGGTTCCAGTCCAGCCAGAGATGCCTCTGAAAATCCAAAACACCAGGCAATGAAAATTCCCTGATTGCAAGTCTACTCTGATATCATGAGTCAGAGTTAACTTCACAGTGACTGGCAGCGGTGGCAGGAACTGAAATAAACATATTTTCATCTAGAATAAGCAGCATTTCAGCATTCCTGGTAAAAGTGGCCTCAGCTTTTAATACGCTCTATTTTGCGCGTCACGGTCAACACCAAATCAGTGACTTTCTGAGAGGATTTTTCTACATGACGGTGTTAATTCACTTAGAAAGAAAATCCCAGGTCTAAAAAGAGACCTGACTTCCAGTGTCACCCTGATGTGACATTTTCCTGAAACATAAGCAGATAACATAACCTTTCCAGTCCTCTACATGTTCACCTGTAAAATTATTCCTGAGGGCTCTTTCTGCTCTACAAATACATTATTGCACAACTAAAACTCTAAACTAAGGAATTTCAGCTTGTTTTAGTCATTTAGTTTAACAGGTACTTTGTCGGCAGTTCTATGTCACCACCTTTACCATTAGCTAGCAAATAATGCAATTATTGTTGTTGCTGTTATGAGCCATTGAGTCACCTGCAAGTAAACCCTAAACCCTGGTCTGTCCTGTGCCAGTCTCACTGTCTCCAACACAGCCACCCCCATTACTCTAGTCACTGAATTAATCTACCTTATAGAGGGTCTTCCTCTCCTGCACTGTCCCTCCATGCTCCCAAGCATGATGTCCCTCTCCAAGGACTGGTCCCTCCTTGCAACATGTTCAAAGTACGTCAGACGAAGCTTCAGAATCCTTGACTCCAAGGAACAGCCTGGTTTAACCTGCTCTAGGATGAACCTGTTGGTTTTCTAGCAGTCCATGGTATATTCAATACTCTTCTCCAGCACCACAGCTCAAAGGCATCAATTCTCTCTCTATCCTGCCTAGTCATTGTCCAGCTTTCTGATGCATAGCAAGTGATTGAAAAGACCATGGCTTTTATCAGGCTCACCTTACTCTCTATAGTGACAACACTGCTTGTCAGTACTCTGGAGAGGTCCCTAACAACAGACTTTCCCACCGCAAAATGTCTTTTAATTTCCTGGCTGCTGGTGCCAAGAGTGTTGACTGTGGAGCAAAGCAAACTAAAGCTGTTAACAATCTCAATCCCTTCACCGTCCATCCCGATGCTGCCATTTGGCCCAGTAGTGAGAATTTTTGTCTTCTTGTTATTGAGCCTCAATCCATATTGAAGGCTGCAGTCCTTGACCTTCCGTGGCAAGCGCTTCAGGTCCTCTTCAGTTTTAGCAAGCAAGGTTGTGTCATCTGCATAGCACAGATTGTTCATGAATCTTCCTCCAATCCTGATGCCACACTTCTCCTCACACAGCCTCCTGGATAATCTGTTCTGCATATAGGATGAAAAGGTATGGAGAAAATACACATCCCTGGCGTACACCCTTCCCAATTTTGAACCACGCAGTGTTTCCTTGCTCTGTTCAGACAACTGCCTCCTGGTCCAAGTATAGGTCTCACATTAGCATGATCAAGTATTCTGGGACTCCCACTTTTCTCAGAGTCAGCCACAATTTGTTGTGATTCACATAGTCAAATGCCTTTGCATAATCAATGAAACAGAGATAGACATTCCTCTGGTACTCCCTGCTTTTAGCCAAGATCCAGCTAACATCAGCTACAATATCCCGACTACCACTACCCCTTCTAAACCCAGCATGGACTTCTGGTAGTTCTCTGTTGATGTGTTGTTCCAGTTGTTTTTTTATAATCTTCAACAGAATCTTGTTTGCATGTGATATCAATGATACTGTTTGATATCAAATAATGCAATACATATACATTACTTAATACCCTAACAGTAATTTCACTTGTAATTTCCTTTGACCTACACAACAACCCTGAAAGACAAGGCAAATTGTAGTATCCCTCTTTAATAGATCAAATCCACTAGCTGTTCCACAGAAGAATGAAGGGTTTTCTCCTCCTGTCTCTGAAGACACACTGGAGGGTCAGATATGAGCCAGTTCTGACTCGATGGTACACAACAACAACATTTAATAGATAGAGTCAATGAAAAGAATTCTTGCCTTTCAGGTATGAAAACCCCATATGAACTCCTAGCCAAAGTACCACACAGACAGCCATCATTTGTCAGAGGAGGTTTCTGTGGCTGAACAGGTTTCAGAGGAGATTCCACACTAAGCTGGATAAGGAGGAATGGACTAATGAAGATGGTCTAATCCAGGGAACTGTTCTGTTCTGCTGTGAATGGGGTTCCCATGAGTCAGAGGGTGACATGACAGCAGGTAATAACATTTAACAGATAAAACTGGAACTCAGAGAAGAAAAGAAACTTGCTCAAAGTCATTCAGCTGTTACGTGAGATGGGGACTTGGCCTTTTGTTTATTATTTTGACCACACTTTTCCAGGACCCCTACCTCATGCCAAGGGAAAAAGCATTTCCATCTGCATTATTTTCTACAGCTTTCACTTCCCTAGTCTGTGGAGTCAATGGTGCTTAAAGTTAACAGTGCAAACTCTGTACTGGCAGGGATGGTAGATTATTTCCTAACTTAATATTGTGATAATTTAGTTGCCTAAAGATGTACTTTAATTATCTATGTCCCAGAACACTTGATCGTTCTAATGCGAAACCTAGAGTTGGACCAAGAGGCAGTCATCAGAAGAGAGCAAGGAAACACTGCATGGTTCAAAATTGGGAAGGGCGTATGCCAGGGATGTGTCCTATCTCCATACCTTTTCAACCTCTGTGCAGAACAGATTATCCAGGAGGCTGGGCTATATGAGGAGAAATGTGGGGTCAAGATACATCCTGGAAAGGGTTAAATCAGGCAGCTCTGTGGAGGCAAGGATTCTGGGGCTTTGTCTGACATACTTTGGACATGTTGTAAGGAGGGACTGGTCTTTGGAGAGTGACATCATGCTTGAGAGGGTGGAGGGACGGCACAAGAGGGGAAGACCCTCTATGAGGTGGGTTGATTCAGTGACTGGGGTAATCGGGATGGGTGTGTAAGAGGCAGTGGGACTGGCACAGAATAGAGTAGGGTTTAGGGCTGTTGTACATAGGGTCGCTATGAGTTGCAAGCAACTCACCGGCACATAACAACAACAACGTTTTAGATACATAAATTTATCAGATAACTGAGTTCTAGATATCTCAAAAAGAAAAAAAAAAACAGTACTATATTAAAAATACAAACCAAAACCAAAAACCTATGGCCACTGAAAGACTGGTAGAGGTGCTCAAAAGAACTCCATTCAGAATAACTAGTATCTGAAAAGAACTTAAATGTCTACAAATAGGTGACAACAATATTATGTATGATATACAGAGACAAAAAAGGTACTCTGGTGGCTTTGTGAATAGGGAATTTTGCTGCCAATCCAAAGGTGGGCAGTTCAAATACATCAGCTGCTTCATAGAAGACATAAGAGCAATCAACCTTC